GCGGTGCTGGGACCGGGGGAGGCGGGGCTGGCCCGTGAGCACACACAGAATCCCAGAGCTGAGTGATGGGGAGACAGACCTCGGGACCTGGCCCTGGGCTTGGCACCCGGTGGGGCCCCCAGCTGGGTGCTGAAATGAGAGCAGGGCCGGGGGATGGGAGGGCGTGCACGCACATGGAGCCCGCAGGACAGGGGCCCCGTCCTGGAATCCCCTGGACGGAATCCCTCCGTCCCGAGGCCAGCGAACAGCTGCTTCTCCTGGGAGGAGCTCTGCCAGACGGTGATGGCGGTCTCCACAGCAGCCGGGGCTCAGTCTCCTATTAACAGAAACCTAGTTCTGTCTGAGGGTCTGTGCTCCAACCCTGGACTGGGGAAGGGGGCGTGGAGAGGATGCGGTTTGGGGCTAAGGCAATCCAACAATCCCATTTGCAGTGACTGGTCCAGAGGGGGCCACAAGACCGCGGATGGTCAATGATACTTAATGTGGAATATATCAGGGTTTCTGGAGTCACATTTCTCTCTTATTAACAGAGGGTCTCATAAGACGTTTGCCTCCTTTAATCCTGTCCATGGGCAGCTATATGATGATGATGTGATATCTGGTGCTGCAACAGCCATCTTGCAACCATGAGGCAACAAGCTTGACTACAACAGCAGAGATAGTGAACACACTGAGGTGAAAGAATACAAGATCTAAGGTTTGTAGAAACTCCTGGAATTGCTGAAAAAGCCTTGCGACTGCCTACCCCTGGAATTCTTAATAAGTAAAGGATAACTGTGCTAGATTTTCTGTCAAATATCAGCCTAAATCTACGGACCACACTGCATCTTAAAATAATAACTCTTTTATTGATAGCTCAGTGGTAAAGAATCTGCCTGCTAGTGCAAGAGACACAGGTTCAATCCCTGGTCCGGGAAGATCTCATATATTGCAGAGCAGCTAAGCCCGTGTGCCATTACTATTGAACCTGTGCCCTAGAGCCTGTATTCCAGAACAAGAGACGCCACCACAGAGTGCAGAGTGCCCCAACAGAGAGTAACCCCCTGTTGTCACAACTAGAGAAAAACCACACAGCATCAAAGACCTAGCACAGCCAAAACTAAACAAATGATTTAAAAAACAATCATAACTACTTTAAAAACTAAAACTGCTTTATAGAGTGTTTTAATGGTTGTCTTAAATGCCTCAAAGAAATGAAAACTCAGCAAAGGTTATATGGTTGAAATGAAAAGACGAGATTCCCTGGAGCCAAGTTGAATGCTGGACATGACTGTCACCTTGACAGTGATGAATCAAGTTTTAGTTTCATGGCCTGGCCGAGGGTAGCAGCTAGAGGCTAAAGTGTGAGGCTAGTGAAGTCAAGGCTAGAGTAAAGTCAACCAGGATGACCCTGGCTGACTGAGATGAACACCAACACAGCCCCGTGTAACTGCGTCTTTCTGGCCTCTCTCTGTGTGTCTCTCCCTCGTTCATGGTCATTAGTGGATTTTATCAGCTTTATTAACAGATATCTTGCAGACAATTAACTGCAGCCATTAAATATGGGCGTGGCCACTGTGGATCTATGGGTCCACAGCACAGAATCGGAGTCAACAATGCCGAGGTATCCAGGGGCATGCTCCCTGTTTCCAGGAGACTCCGCTGCAAAGCTCACCTCAAGTTTTCCAGATTAGCCCACACCTCTGTTTTCCCCTCAGGGCTTCCATGGTGGCTCAGACGGTTAAGATTCTGCCTGCAATGCAGGAGACCTGGGCTCAGTCCCTGGGTGGGGAAGATCCCCTGGAGGAGGGCACGGCAACCCACTCCAGTATTCGTGCCTGGAGAATCCCATGGACAGAGGAGCCTGGGGTCGCAAAGAGTCGGACACAACTGAGCGACTCAACAACAAGACATCAGAGGCAGAAACAAAGCAAGCTGAAAAACGCGCTGTCTGTGGTGTGTTGGACCAGAACAGTCCAACAGTTCTGTATCTCAGCGAGTACGCCAGACCAAGCAGTTTTCTTTCTGCTCTGTGTGGGTCTCTCTGTTCTGCCCTGGGCTGGGCTGAGAAAAGAACAGGGCTTCCTGAAACTGTTCTACAGGAAACCCAATGCTATATTAGGCAGCCCTCATCCCCTAACTACTCCCTGTCGTGAACTACACCTTGGCCCCAAGCCTCCTATCCAAGCTGGCCATGATTTGGTTTTACAAGTGTAAACTCATATCAAAGCTTTAAAAACCTTTTTTACTTTTCTTCTTTCCTCAACTAGCAGGTCTTATGATGATGGTGATATATAATACTCCTTTACCTACTAAATACGGAAGTACATTATTCTCATAAAAAAGAAAAATTGTGGCGCTTCCCTGGTGGTCCAGTGGTTAAGGATCTGCTTGCCAATGCCGGGGACATCTGATCCCTAGTTTGGTCCCTAGTCTGGGAAGATCCCACAGGCCATGGGGCAACTAAGCCCGTGCAACACCGCTTGAGCCTGCCTGCTGCATCTGCTGAAACCCAAGCACCCTAGAGGCCGGGTTCCACCACAAGAGCAGCCACGGCAGGGAGAAGCCTGCACCACAATTAGAGAGAGCCTGCAACCAAAACACATACAGATTCACAGGATTACTTCAACCAGAATTGTGACTCAGTATCACTTACAGAGATAATAATTTCCTTGGTGAAAGTCAGTGAGTTGCTGAATGTATCTTGCAATTCTGTATAATGAGCAATGTAAGATACATATAAGAACTCTTTCTTGAGGGCTTTATCTAAAATCTTCTTATTTGTTGGCCAAATAAAATTTCTGCCTTTCCCTCTGTCTCTCTGTATTTCTGTCTCTGCCAGCGTCTCTCTGTCTCTCTATTTCTCCCTCTGTCTGTCTTCCTGTCTCTCACTGTCTCTGTGTCTCCGTCTCTCTGTCTCCCTCTATCTCTGTCTCTGCCTCCCTCCCTCCTGCCCTCTTGCTCGCTCTCCCTTCCTCCTGACCTGCCCTGAACTTGTTGCTCCCTTGCCGGCAGCCCCGCAGCCCCAGGCCCCGGGATTAGCACAGTTGCTCCCTTGCTGGCAGCCCCACAGCCCTAGGCCCCGGGATTAGTACAGTTTCACTCGACAGCTGCACTCAGTGGTGTGTGGAGCAGCCAGCTCCAGCCACTTCCTGACAGCTGACTGTGAACATCCCTCCCCCACTGCAGGTTCAGTGACCTCACTTTGGAAACTTGATGTGAGCCACACTGTATTTACTCCCCAGAAACTGGTGAGTGCTACAGATCAGTTGCTTTCTTTCCTAGACGTAACTATTACACATTTCCCATTACTCTGCTGGGCAGTTTCCAAAGGCTGCCTTAAAGAAAATTAAACAAGACAGGGAGGACTTCCCTGGTGGCCCAGTGGGTAATGAACCTGGCTTGCAATGCAAGAGACACAGGTTCCATCCCTGGTCTAGGAAGATCCCGTGGGCAACTAAGCCCATGAACCACAACTACCGAAGCCCGCATGCCCTAGAGCCTGTTCTCCACGGCAAGAGAAGCCATCACAATGAAAATAAATAAATAAGAACATGGAAAGAAACCCTCTATGCCATCCCCATCCAAAAGGAAAACTGACAAAATCCTGTCTATATCCATGGTTTCCCGCAACAGGCTTTATTCCTTCCTCACCTAAAGCAGCCAACATCTAAAATCGTGTGTTCAAGTTTCTCTTGAATTTTTGTAAATACAGTGTGACCATATATATATACATATATGTGTGTGTATGTATATATGTATGTGTGTTCATTGTTGTTTTTAACTTTATGACCCAATAGAGTTTTGAAAATGATGTTTGAAATCAGATACGGAGTAAGCGTGGACTGATGTTCTATTTCTTTGACTACAAGATGGCAGAGTAGACGGACGTCAGCTCCTCTCCTGTGAGAACCCCACAAACTACAACTCACTGCACAACAACCATCGACAGGAGAATGTCGGATCCCACCAAAAACAGATACTTTGCCAACAAAGGTCCATCTCGTCAAGGCTATGGTTTTCCCAGTGGTCGTGTATGGATGTGAGAGTTGGACTATAAAGAAAGCTGAGCACTGAAAAATGGATGCTTTTGAACTGTGGTGTTGGAGAAGCCTCTTGAGAGTCCCTTGGACAGAAAGGAGATCCAACCAGTCCATCCTCAAGGAAATCGGTCCTGAGTGTTCATTGGGAGGACTGATGCTGAAGCTGAAACACCAATATTTTGGTCACCTGATGTGAAGAACTGACTCATTGGAAAACACCCTGATGCTGGGAAAGATTGGGAGAATCCCAGGGACAGAGGAGCCTGATGGGCTATGATCTATAGGGCTCAAAAGAGTTGGACACAACTGAAGCGACGAACACACTTCCTTCTTTTGGTGCTCATCTGTTGGTGAAGAATTCAGTTTTTCGTTGCCTGAAATTAATGTCTTTATCTCACCTCCAATTTTGAAGTTTTCTCCTGTTGTAAAGTTCTAGGTTGGCATTTATTTTTTAGCGCTTAAATATGGCATTAATCATTTCTGTTTCAAATGACTGCAGATCTTCTCATTGCTCCTTTGAAAATAATGTGCCCTTTTTCTCTCAGTGCTTTTAAGATTTTGCCTTTGGAGTTCAGCAGTTTTCCTCTGATGTGTCTCAGTATATGTGTGTGTGTTGACTTTTACTGAAGCGTAATAGATTAAAATTGCATATGTAGAATGCACAGCTTGACGAATCCTCACAGAATCAACACTCCTAGGTTGTCCAGTAACTTCTCTTGAAAGGTAATGACTTTGCTGACTTCAACAGCATGGGTTAAATGTGCGTGTTCTGGTTCTTTATCTCAGCGTGAATATTCTCTGCAGCCTGTGTGTGTGTGTGTGTGTGTATGTGTGTGTGTGTGTGTCTTCCTCTGCTCAACCGAATATTCTAAGATCTGTCCAACACCCTGGGTGCTGTGGAGTATTTTATTGTGTGAATCACCACCACGTGGACATCCCCCCTAGTGTAAAGAGGCATTTGCTTAGCTTCCAGTTTACGTTAGGATGGAAAGTGTTGCTTTGAATGTCTTAATTCATGTCCAGTGGTGAGCATATATGTGCATTTCTGTTGGAATAAACCTGAGACTGTAATTGCCGTGTGTTGTGCTGTGCATTTATTCAGTTCTAGTAGGCACTTCTGAATATGTTTCGCAGTGATAGCATCAGTTCACACTGAGCATTCTGGTTACCCCACATCCTCACTGGTCCCTCTGCTTTCCCACCTTCTTATTTTCGCCCCCCTGTGAGGGGCAGTGGTAGCTTTGTGGTTTTACTTTGCATGTCTCTGGTAACTAATGCATTTGGGAATATTTTCCTATGGCTTTTGGTCATTTGAATATTCATCCAATTTTGTGAAATGTCTGTTTGAGTCATTTTTCTCATTTCCTCATTTTAGACAACTGAATTGACTTTTTTTAACTAAACAGTAGGAAGCTTTCTCTTTTTCTTATTATGCTCGAGTCCTTTGTCAGATGTGTTCCTTGTGAATATTTGTTCCTTGTCTAGCTGAGGGTCACTCTCGTTGCTGCATTTTGAAAAAGATTATTTCTGAATCTTATTAGATCCCACTTACCTAATTTTATTTTATGTTTATTGCTGCAGCAAAGGGTGAAGAAATTCTCTGTATGTTCCTCCCAGAGCTAGAGATGTACTTTTTGGATTTATATCTTCAGTCCTTGGGACATAATGGGGTGTGTGTGTGTACGTGTTGTACAGTAAGAGTCCACATACGGTTTTCACATGGAAATCCGATTAGTACAGGACAGTTTATCGGAAGGACCCTCCTTTCCTCACTGAGCTGTGGATATCCTGTGTCGTATCGCAGGAGACCGCTCTGTTCTCATGATTAGTGTGTATCTGTGCCCAGTAACACTTGGACCAGACACTCGAGCCCCGTACGAAGGCCCGACATCTAGTAGTGTGTGTCTTCCAGCTTTGCCTTCCTTTTCCAGGGTATCACTAAATAACATTGGTCCTCAGGGTGTCTACAAACAACAAAAACCTCTCTGCTCTGTTGCTGTTCTGTTGTTGTTTATGTAGCAGTTTGTATCTGCTGGGGCTTCCCAGGTGGGGCGGTCGTAAAGAATCCGCCTGCCAATGCCGGAGATGCAAGAGACCCAGGTTCAACCCCGGGGTTGCAAAGATCCCCTGGAGAAGGAAATGGCAACCCGCTCCAGTACTCTTGCCTGGAGAATCCCGTGGACAGAGGAGCCTGGTGGGCTACAGTCCACGGTGTCGCAAAGAGCTGGACACAACTGAGCAACTAACACTCGACTTGATCAATAAATCGATAAATAAATATATGGAATATAAGGTATAGTCGCTCTTTTCCTCACTAATGTGTTTTCATAAGATTGATGTTATTTTTCCTTTGAAGTTTGGATAAATTCACACTGAAATACTGAACACTTTTATTTGTATTTATCCTGGGTTTCTCTGAGCTTCTGGAGGCAGTGGCTTGATGGCTGATCCAACCTGGGAAACAAAGATAGATCACATTGGATAATCAAAAGTTGGACAGAATTCAAATTGGAGTAAGATGCAGGGAGCTCAGCCCCGTGCTCTGTGCCAACCTAGAGCGGTGGGATGGGGAGGGAGGCGGGAGGGGAATTCAAGAGGGAGGGGACACATGTACACCTGTAGCTGGTTCAGGTAGATGCATGACCGAAACCAACATGATATTGTAAAGCAATTATCCTTCATTTAAAATAAATAACTTTTTAAAATAAAAATAAATTTAGAAAGAAAGATGAAATCACACAAAAAATTTAAATAAGACACGACTGGGCAACTTCTAGGTCACTATTTCCTCAAATATCACTCTTCCTTGGCTCTCTCTGTTTTTCATCCTCAGACTGCCAATTAATCATGTGAAGAATCTTCTTTCTGGGTCCCACAAGTCTCTGAGACTTTTCCCCATGGGTGTTCTAGTTTTCTCTTCTGAGGACTTCAATCTGGGTGTATTTACCTTACGTCCAGTTTATTGTTCTTGTCTTCTGCACTGTTCCAGCCCCCCATGACCATGAAGTCGAGTCCAGAAATCATTAGGGTCCAATACTATGAGAGGTCATTGTCAGAAAAACCATCTTGTCTGAAAGATGTCTTCAGTGACTGAATCACAAATTTCAAGGGAAGTCAGAAAAGCCACCGTCTGCTAAGCAAGACTTGGAAACTTAGCTCATCTCTCTTGGGACAGAAAGGTCACACCAGGTCTCTGAGTAATGCCTCTTGGCCACCTGCTCTCCGGAGATTCTATCAGAGTCTGCTTAAGGGGGAATGCCCATTTTCTTCTGAATCTCCTTTGCAAAGACTGTGGGGTGTTAAGGTGGCCAGTCAGCTTTCCAAATCAGCACGGTCCAGCAAAGACGCAGCATAAACCACAACGACTAGCCACTTAGGTACTTTCACACGTTCACACTAAAAAAAAACAAAAACTGATGGAAATTAATTATACTTATGTTTCATTTAGCCCAATCTATTTTTTAATTGAAGGATTATTGCTTTACAGAACTCTGTCATTTTCTGTCAAACACCAACATAACCCAGTCTATTTTAAAATGGTGTCTTTTCAGCGTAAGACGTGACCAGCAAGATAGCTCACACTCTTTCTCATATCGTGTCTTCAAGTGTTTTATCACCAGACGCGCATCCCAATTGGGCTTCCCAGGTGGCTCAGTGGTAAGAAACCCGCCTGGAAATGCAGGAGCCGCAGGGGACGTGGGTTTGATCCCCGGGTGGGGAAGATCCCCTGGAGGAGGGCATGGCAACCCACTCCAGTATTCTTGCCTGGAAAATCCACGGACAGAGGAGCCTGGCAGGCCACAGTCCATGGGGTCGCAAAACTGAGCGACTGAGCGCGCACACATGCGCACTTCCCGATTGAGACAGGCTATGTCAGCTGATCAACAGCCTCCTGTGGGTGGCAGCCGCCACGCTGGGCGGAGCATCTCTAAGCCCACCCTCGGTATCCAGGTGAGCGGGGTCTCCTTCACTCAGCACGTCTGTCTCTGTCTGTGCCTCTTCGTCTCTTCTGTCTCGCTTAGTCTGACTTCATGCAAATTCTCTGTCTCCTTTTTTTCCTCTCTGTCTCCATCAATGGGTCTGGAGGGCCTCTGTAGGTCACTATGTCCCCAAGAACCCCAGGGACACCTCTCATAATCCTCCCTGGATTATAACGCTTAAAACAGGACTTCTGGGGTGGTCCAGGGGTTAAGAATCTGCCGGCCAGTGCAGGGGATGCGGGTTTGGTCCCTGGTCCGGGAAGATTCCACACGCTGCGGAAGCAACTAAGTCACAACTACTGAAGCCCGCGTGTCTGGAGCCTGCGCTCTGCAGCGAGGGAAGCCCTCCCTTGCCACAACTAGAGAAAGCCCGCGGACAACAGTGAAGGCCTATCGCAGCCAAAAATAAATCAATCAGTTAATTTTAGGAAAAAAGCTTAAAACCACCCATCTAAGTCCCAAAGAGGACCAGGGCCAGCCCGGCTTGCTCACACGTGACCACAAGCCCTGAGAACGTCAGCCGGGCACATTTCCGCGTGAGCACAAGCCCCGGGGGTCCGTCGAACCCATCTATGATTGCTCACCATCAGCTAGGAGCACCTGGAAGTCCTTGCAGGGGCGGCTTCCCAGGGCCCGGGGAGAAGCCAGTCCAGGATGCATGCTCGTCCCCACCAGGGGCTCTCAGCAGAAGAGGGGCGGGGGTGGGGCGAACCAGGCCAGGCGTGCGCGTCTTGTTCAGTGGAGCCCGACTCGACAGACAAACACGTAGGTAGGGTGTGATGCCCAGAAGCTTAACACCAAGTATGTTTTTTGGTTTCCCTGTTGGTTTTGTTGCAGTGAAAAGGAAAAAAAGAGGAGTGATTTTTTTTCTCTTTCCCCTTCCTGAAAACAAAGAAAATAAAGAGAACAGTGAGCAGCAGGCCTGAACATTCCTAGCCTTTTTTTTTCTAACTTTGTTCCTAACTCTGAGTGTCTGTAACTAAGTCTCTGCCCCCTAACTCTCGGGAGCTA